CCAGCTTAGGATTATTTTTATTTTTAATTTGTGTATATGCATATGTCTGTGTGTGGGTATGTGCATATGAGTGTAGGTGCCCATGGAAACTATAGATGCTGAAGTTACAGGTCACTGTGGGCCATCTGTCATGGTTGCTGGGAATTGAGCTTAGGTCCCTTGCAAGAGCAGTATGTGCACTTAACTACTGAGACAACTCTCCAGCCCTAACTTTGTAATTTTTTAAAAGTATTTTTACTTTATTATTATTGGGATTAGGGCATACAAGTACTATAGACTGAATGTGGAGGACAGAGAACAACTCTAGAGTTAGGGTTGTTTTGGGGGGCGGTTTGCCCTATTTTTTTGAGACAGGGTCTCACAGTGTAGCCCTGGCTGGCTTGGATCTCACTATGTAGACCAGGCTAGCCTTGAACTTAGAGACCCCCCTCCCCAATCTGCCTTTGCCTCCTGAATGCTAGGATTAAAGGTGTGTGCCACCACAACTGGCCCTCAAATTTCTTTTTAAAGGACACCAAGTACATATTATAAAACAAAATCAAAACATCCTAGGCAGGGGAGATGACTTACAGTAAAGTGTTTGCTATGTAAGCATGAGGATTTTAGTTTGGGTTCCCAGCATCCATATAAAAGCTGGATGCTGTGGCCTCCACATGCTTGTGAAAACACACGAACAAACAGACACGCATAAAAACAAAAAAATTCCCCTAATGTCTCTGGCTGCAACATGGTCGGGACTCTTCCTCCACTGTCTTCAGCTGAGGCTCACTGTTCACACTGGGCTGTACCTGTTCTCTGGAGACCTCAGGTCATGATGTGAGGCTGGAGCTGGGGCTGCCAGGGTCCCTGGACTTCACCTGACCAGTGGCCTCTTCTCCCTCAGAAAGTGAGAGCTGGCGGGAGCAGCTGGCCCTGATTGCAGGCACAGCAGTCGTGGGTGTGGTGCTGGTCCTTGTGGTGGTTGTCATCGCTGTCCTCTGCCTCCGGTAAGGGCTCTGGCTTCCTAGAAGCATCTAGAAACCCTCTGTCGCTACCTGTCTACACACTCGGGGGGAAGCCTTCCTGTTTCCCCAACCCCCCCCCGCCACCCCATGGGCCAGTTCTCATTTGAAATCTTCCCCAGCTCCCATGCCTTCCTTCCCTCTGTTATTCTGAAGGGACAGAGTGGCATGACTCGGTTTAACTTTTGCTTCTCTTCCTGTTGGCTACAGGAAGCAGAGCAATGGGAGGGAAGCAGAATACTCAGATAAACATGGGCAGTATCTCATCGGGCACGGTAGGTGGGTTTATCCTAAAGGAAATAGGGGGCTGGGGACAAAAGCTGTGGGCTAAGAGGACATTTGATCTAGAGGAATTTACTTCTTGGTTAATGAGATCCCACGTGACTTCTTAGGTACTAAGGTCTACATTGACCCCTTCACTTACGAGGACCCTAACGAGGCAGTGAGGGAATTTGCCAAAGAGATTGACGTCTCCTATGTCAAGATTGAAGAGGTAATTGGAGCAGGTAAGAAGAAAAGTCTGACTGACTGTGGTGACGCACACCTTTAATCCCAGCAGATTAAAGGGGACAGAATCAGGTGGATCTCTATGAGTTTGAGGCCAGCCTGGTCTACATAGTGAGTTCCAGGGTAATCAGAGCTACATAGTAAGACCATATCAAAGAAGAGGAGGAAAAGGAAATGTGGAGTCCAGGCAGATGGCTTAGTCTATATAGCTCCTGCCACATAAGCATGAGCATAAGCATGAGTTTGATCCCCAGAATTCATGTAAAAAGTTGGGCATGGCAGCACACAGCTGTAAACTCCAGCACTGAAGACAGGGTGTGTGGACACAGGTGGATTATCAGAAATCATTGGCCAGCCAGCCTAATCAAATCAATAAGCTCTAGGTTCAGTGGCAGATCCTCTCTCAAGACATAGGTAGAGAGGGCCTGGAAGATGGCTCAGTGGATAAAAGTGCCTGTGGCCAAGCCTGATGACCTGCTTTATCCCTGGAAGGCACATGGTAGGAAAAGAAAACCAATTCCTTCAAGTTCTGACCTCCACACACTTACCCCACCCCCACCGCAGCCCAAAATTTTAAAAAATACATATAACTTGAAAAATATTAAAAAGAGAGAGAAACAAGGTTGAGAGTGGTGGAGAGAAAACACTAGACTTTGTCCTCTGGCCTCCACATTCACATGCATTATCTGGGTAATGGGAACAAAACATATGAGTCAGGGACTGGAGAGACGGCTTTGTAGTTAAGAGTAGACGGCCTGGGTTCTGTTCCCAACACTCATATGGTAGCTAACAACAATTTAAAAACCCCAGTTCCAGGGGATTCAGTGCCCTCTTCTGGTCTCCACGGGCATTGCATACATGGATGCACTTAGATACAAGTAGGCAAAATGCTCATACACATAAAATAAAATAAAAAAAAAGACTCCAGAAACAAATGGATCAGGATGGGAAGAAAACTAACCCTACATGTTCTTATTGAAGGTGAGTTTGGTGAGGTATGCCGGGGACGACTAAAGGCACCAGGAAAGAAGGAGAGCTGTGTAGCCATCAAGACCCTAAAGGGTGGCTACACAGAGCGGCAGCGGCGTGAGTTCCTGAGTGAAGCATCCATCATGGGTCAGTTCGAGCACCCCAACATCATCCGCCTTGAGGGTGTTGTCACCAACAGTGTACCTGTCATGATTCTCACTGAATTTATGGAGAATGGAGCCCTGGACTCCTTCCTACGGGTGAGCCACCCTACCCATGTGCACAACCATTGAGTCCTCCGAGGGAGTCAAGAGGCAGGGAATAGCTGGGCTCAGCATAGGGACAGGACTGGAGCGATAGCTCAGGGATTGAGAGCACTAGCTGATTTTGCAGAGGACCCAGGTTCAGTTCCCAGCACCCACATGGTGGCTCACAACCATCTGTAACTCCAGTTCCAGGGGATCTGACCACCCCTTCTGACCTCCACAGCCAAAGCACAACACAGATGCACTTACATGCATACAGGCAATACACTCATACACATAAAAAAAATAAATAAATAAAGATTTTAAAAAAGAACATAGGGGCAAAGCAGGGTGGCTCATGCCTGTAATTCCAGCACTGGGTAAGCTGAGGCAGGAGGATTTGCATTTGAGGCCAGCCTGGGGATACAAAGGCAGTTCAAGGCCAACTGGTACTTAGAGTACACCAAGACCCTGCCTCAGAAGAGAAAAAAAATAAATGGTTTCAGACATGAAAAAAAGTCAAAAGATTATGAAACTGGTTGAATTCTTTATTTTTGTACATTGTTGAGGATTGGAAGCCAGTCTCACATGTGCTATAAGCTGTTTTTGCTGACTCACCACCCCAGCCCCTCACTGGGGGATTCTAGGCAGGTGCTCTTCCCTGGGTCACACCCTAGCTCCTCACTGAGGGATTCTATACAAGCAGTCTGCCATTAAGCTATATTCTATCCCTTTTTGTTTCATTTTTTTTGTTTTGTTTTGCTTTGTTTTGTTTTGGGACAGGCTCTCTTTAAGTTACCTCAGCCAGCTTTGAACTTAAGATCTTCTTGCCTCATTCTCACAAATAGCTGGGGTAGCAGGCCTGCACCAACAGGTCTTATCCTAGTTATTTCTGTGTATCTCTATAAAATTCTAGAGTTTCTACTTTAGGTATGCCTGTGTGTGTATGTGTGTGTGTGTGTATGGTCATGTGTATGCAGGTGCCTGCCAAGGCCAGAAGAGGGCATTGGATCCCTTGGAGCTCAAGTTATAGGCAGTCATGAACTGCCCCCATGTGGGTGCTGGGAACTGAATTTAGGTCCTCTGCAAGAGTAGCAAGTGCTCTTAACCACTAAACCTCCTCTCCAACCTAGAGAATTCTTGGCATAGAATCCCCCCCATGAGGGACTGGAGGTGTGACTCTGGCAGAATTCTCTAGTGAGATGGGGTTATGGCTTAGTGGTAGAACACCTGCCTAGAATCCCCCAGTGAGGGGCTAGGGTCATGGCTCAGTGGTAGAGCACTTGTGTAGCATGTATAAGGCCTTAAGTTCAATCTCCTGTACTGATAAAACAAACAGAAAAACCCAAAACAAATTCAGCTTTGGGATGTAGCATCCTTAACCTTCCCTGCAAAGGGTGCCCTGTATCCAAGTCATACCCAGAGATGGGATCAAATTACTCTGTGTTCCTGGTTGGTTTAACTGTGAGTGCAAACTGGAAAAAATCAAGATTAGGCATTAGACTGTGGCTTTGGCATCATGTTCCTCAGTTTCTCATTGTTTACTTGCAATTCACACATAGCTGGTCTGAATGGTCTGAATGAGATTGTGGTTGTATGACAAAGACATTTCTTCCTGTAGACAGGCAGCTCAATCCATGCTTATAACTGGCCCAACTCTGTCACATCTCAAGTGGGTGCCAGCTTTGAAATGTTAGTTGAAGCCAGGAGTGGTGGTTCCAGCCTGTCATCCCAGAAATTGGGTGGCCAAGGCTGAGGCAGTGTTGCCACACAGTCAGGGTTACACAGTTAGACCTTGTCTCAAAGGAAACAGAACAAAAAGTAAAAGCACTGATTGGAAACCAAGCATGGTGGTACATGCTAGTAATCTTGGTAAGCTGAGGCAGGAGTATGGCCAGTTCCAGGGCAACCAGGACTGCATAGTAAGTTATGGTTACCAGGTTATCCAGTCTGAGGTATATAGGATGATCCTGTCTCAAAAAGAAAGCAGGTTGGGGTTAGGGTGGGATTTTAAATCATCTCTCTCTCTGTCTTTTTTGAGACAGGGTCTCCCTGTAGCCCTAGCTGGCCTGGAATTTACTATGTAGACCAGGCTGGTCTCAAACTCACAGAGATCTGCCTCTGCCTTCCAAGTGCTGGGACTAAAGGTTCCTCAGTTTCTCATTGTTTACTTGCAATTCACACATAGCTGGTCTGAATGGTCTGAATGAGATTGTGGTTGTATGACAAAGACATTTCTTCCTGTAGACAGGCAGCTCAATCCATGCTTATAACTGGCCCAACTCTGTCACATCTCAAGTGGGTGCCAGCTTTGAAATGTTAGTTGAAGCCAGGAGTGGTGGTTCCAGCCTGTCATCCCAGAAATTGGGTGGCCAAGGCTGAGGCAGTGTTGCCACACAGTCAGGGTTACACAGTTAGACCTTGTCTCAAAGGAAACAGAACAAAAAGTAAAAGCACTGATTGGAAACCAAGCATGGTGGTACATGCTAGTAATCTTGGTAAGCTGAGGCAGGAGTATGGCCAGTTCCAGGGCAACCAGGACTGCATAGTAAGTTATGGTTACCAGGTTATCCAGTCTGAGGTATATAGGATGATCCTGGTCTCAAAAAGAAAGCAGGTTGGGGTTAGGGTGGGATTTTAAATCATCTCTCTCTCTGTCTTTTTTGAGACAGGGTCTCCCTGTAGCCCTAGCTGGCCTGGAATTTACTATGTAGACCAGGCTGGCCTTGAACTCATGGAGATCCGACTGCCTCTGCCTCCCAAGTGCTGGGACTAAACTTGTGTGCCACCATGCCTGGCCTTAAATCATCTATTTAGGGGGGCTGGAGAGATAGCTCAGTGGTTAAGAGCACTGGCTGCTCTTACAGAGGACCCGTGTTTTGTTCCCAGCACCCACCCACATGGCAGCTAACCACCATCCATAATGCCAGTTCCATGACATCTGACACCCTTTTCTGATTTCTGTGGACATTGCATGACACCAATGCACTTACATACATGCAGGCTATACACTCAAACACACAAAATATAAATATTTTAAAAATCATCTTTTTATAATCTAATAGTGACTAGATTAGATGTACATCTTTGAAATAGAGTGAAGCCAGGTGTGGTGGTGCATGCCTCTAACCCCCGCACTTAAGAAGTTGATGCAGGATTGCCTCAAGTCCTAGTCGATCCAGATCTATTAAAGCAAGACCTTGTCTCAAAAAGCAAACACATACACACTGAGGTATGGTGAGGAGCCCTTTGTTAGGATGCTATAGTGAAAGCTGGCAAAACTCACAGGAAGACTAAGGAGGGGTGCCCTGCCAGAAACTGGGCTGCCTACAGGTAAGATGAGAGATGGATGTGCAAGGGACAGATCCAGTGAAGGAAGAGGGGGAAACAATGTGTGAGCTCTCCTAACTAAGCCTTTCTTCCTTGTCCCCTCTCCAGCTGAACGATGGGCAGTTCACAGTCATCCAGCTGGTGGGCATGTTGCGGGGCATCGCCTCAGGCATGCGGTACCTGGCTGAGATGAGCTATGTCCACCGAGACCTGGCTGCCCGTAACATCCTGGTCAACAGCAACCTAGTCTGCAAGGTCTCTGACTTTGGCCTCTCCCGATTCCTGGAGGAGAACTCTTCTGATCCTACTTACACAAGCTCCCTGGTGAGGCTGGGGTGAGGGACATGAGCTAAGTTCTCAGGCCCATGTGTGGATGGTGGGTTTTAAAGGTGGGAAGCTGAGGGACTGGCAGCTCTAGGCCAAGGAGAGGACACATGTTGAGGGGCACCAACTTCTAGTGTTTAGGGAAAGAACAGCTGGGGAGTTGGTTAGGACCAGAAAGAAAAGTGACCAGCTGGGTGTAGTGACACATACCTGTTATTCCAACATTTAGAAGGCCAAGTGTGGTTGTGTGCACCTAAAATCCCAGCACTTGGGAGGTGGAGGCAGGAGGATTAGGAATTCATGTTCATCTTTGGCTACATAGGGAGTTGAAGGCCAGCTTGGACTATGTGAGACTTTCTCCAAAAAACCCAGGAAGACAAAAATTAGAGAGGAGCGGAGTTGGGGAGAGGGGAAGAGAATGAACCCACAGGTAGGGAAAAGCAGAGTCGGTGGGGCTGTGTTTTAGTTGCTTTTCTTGTCACTATGATAAAATACTCTGACAAAAGCAACTTCAGGGAGAAGGGTTTATTTTAACTCACAGTTAATGGTACATCACTGCAGCAGGAGCGTAAAGCAGCTGGTCACATGGCATCCACAGTCAGGAAGCAGAGAGAGATGAATGGATACATGTGCTCAGCTCGCTTTCTCCTTTTTATTCAGTCCAGGACCCCAAGCCCAGGGATTGGTGCTGTGCATTTTTAGGCTGGGTTTTCCCACCTCACTTAACCCAGTTAAGATAATCCCCCACAGGCATGACCAGAGGCTTGTCTTCCAAGGTTCTTGATTCTGTTGAAATGACAACCAACACTATTCATTATGGGCAGTGTTCCTGGGTCCCAGGGGTCCCTGGGTTCACCTTTTCTTTCTCCTTCCACAGGGAGGAAAGATTCCCATCCGGTGGACAGCCCCTGAGGCCATTGCCTTCCGGAAGTTCACATCTGCCAGTGACGCTTGGAGCTATGGGATCGTCATGTGGGAGGTCATGTCATTTGGGGAAAGGCCATATTGGGACATGAGCAACCAGGATGTAAGTGTTCTGTAATCATACCAAGATTTCCTGAATAGTCTTTATGATCTGGGATACCTAGTGGGAGATGAGGTTCCCAGACTCCTCCCTGCCCTATGCTAGGGACAGTGGGGTAGCAGAAAGATGAGGTGATGTTTGCATCAATAAGTTGGATGCAGGGACTGGGGAGGTGGCTCAACAAGTGAAGTATCTGCTATGCAGGCATGAGGCCCTGAGTTTGGATCCCAGTACCATGTAAAAACTAGGCACTATGGTGCTTGTCTGTAACTCCAGTGCTGGGGGTATGGTGACAGGCAGATAGATCTCTGGAACTTACTGGCCAGCCAGCCCAGCCAAATCACAGAGTTCCAGGTTTAGCAAGAGACCCTGCTCAAGAAATAAGGTGGAAAGGCTGGGGAGATAGATGGCTTAGCAGGTAGAGTACTTGTAGCACAGAATGAACACTGGATTTCAGATCCCCAGCATCCATGTAAATGCCAAGTGGATGTGGCAGTTTGTCTGTAATCCTAACACTTGAGTGGTAGAAACAGGAGATCCTGGATCAATCTAAACTAGGGAAATTGGCAAGCTCTGGGTTCAAGGGAGAGATCCTGCCTCAGTATATACATTGGAGAGCAGTTGAAGATACCTGACATTAACCTCTGGCTCCTAGGTGCACACTCATGGCACGTGGCACTTGCACACATTCATAACACACACACACACACACACACACATATGCACACACACACAAGAAAAGTGGAGAGCTGGCAAGATGGCTCAGTGGGCAAAGGCACCTGCTGCCAAGCCTAATGACTTGAGTTAGAACCCTGGGACCCACATGGTAGGTCAACTCCCACAAGTTGTCCTCTGTCCTCCACACATGTGCTATCACACGCATGCCCCCTGTCTACACACACACACACACACCAGAAAAAATAAATACAATTTAAAAATAAGGAGGAGAGTGATAAAGGAAGACAGCCCATGTTGACTCCTGGCCTCACACACATTTGTGCACACACAAATACACACACAGATGGATGTAGCATTGCTGGATTAAGGATGGAGGGTAGGGTTGGGAGGTTACACTCCAAACCATAGCCCAAGGCTACTGCAATGTCTAGCCATAGCTAACCTCTACCCAGCCAGGACTCCTGAGCCATGATTCTAGATGGCTGTGGCTCCCATTCCAGCATCATCGGGATCCTTCAGCATGTGGTTCTCTGGCCAGCCTCACCCAGTCCTTTCCACCACTGTAGGTGATCAACGCCATTGAACAGGACTACCGGCTGCCCCCACCCCCAGACTGCCCAACCTCCCTTCATCAGCTCATGCTGGACTGTTGGCAGAAGGACCGGAATGCCCGGCCTCGCTTTCCCCAGGTGGTCAGTGCCCTTGACAAGATGATCCGGAATCCTGCTAGCCTCAAGATTGTAGCCAGGGAGAATGGCGGGTGAGAACCCCAGAAAACCCCTCCATCCCTGGCTCTGCCATCACCCAAGGGCCCCTCTAAGTGTCTGGGAGGTCCCATCCCTTTGGTCTTTCCTAAGTCCCCTGATACAGCAGTTGTCAGACTTAGCCTTCCTTTCTATCCTTACCGTCCCACCCCCTAGGGCCTCGCATCCACTCTTGGACCAGCGGCAGCCTCACTACTCTGCTTTTGGCTCTGTGGGAGAGTGGCTCCGAGCCATCAAGATGGGAAGATACGAGGAAAGTTTTGCAGCGGCTGGGTTTGGCTCCTTTGAGGTGGTCAGCCAGATTTCTGCAGAGTAAGTGAAGGGCATCACACTGAGAACAAAGCACCCAAAGGTGACTGAGAACAGCAGGTAGAGAAGGCTGAGTCTGACCCTTGGGTTCAGCAGGGGCCTCTGGGCTCAACCTCAAGGGCTAATTGATATCTTGGTGATGCAGTGCTAAGGAACTTGCTCAGTGCCATGCCCAGAGCTGTCCGTAGAACAGAAATATTAGCTGAGGCTGAGACCCAGAGATTGTTCCAGAATAGCAGAACCCTGCTACTGCTAGTGTTCTGTAGGCGTCTCAACCCTAGGTCATCTCCTTTCCCACTCCAGTCTGTATCTATCTTTGTGCTTCTATCTACATTCCAAACCAGCTCTCACATTAGTGTGTCAACTCCGTCTCTCTTTTCCCACCCATAAAAGGAGAAGACGGGGACTGAGTTTTGGAGATCCCTTCCCAGCAATGGTGTTAAATCATTTTATGATTCTACTAACTCCCAAATAACTGTTCTCCTGGGTTGGCCTCACTTGGAACTCCTTTCTGCCTTTCCCATTTCTCTCCCAAAGCCTCTGCTTACCCCAGGTTTGAATGTAGGAGGGAAAAGGAGAGGGAGAGAGGGAGAGACAGAGAGACAGAGGAATAGAATAGAATAGAATAGAATACAATGGAATGGAATAGAATAGAATAGAAATGAAAATTATGTAGGCAGGAGGCAGGCAACCGTGGTACATCACTGTAATCCTAGCCCTTGGGAGGCTGAGGCAGGAGGATTTCACATTCAAAGCCAGCACGGGCTACATAGTGAAACTCTTGTGGCAAAGAACCAAAATAATAGTAAATAAAACATTTTTTAAAATTAAAAATCTGGGGCTGGAGAGATGGCTCAGCGGTTAAGAGCACTGACTGCTCTTGCAGAGGACCCGGGTTTGATTCCCAGCACCCACATGGCGGCTACAAACAGTCCTTAACTCCAGTTCTCGGGGAATCTGAAGCCCTCTTCTGACCTCCATGGCATTGCATGACACGGG